GCAAGAAAATCCATGTTCATCCTGTATGATCTGTATGTATTGAGTGGCTGTTCTGTGTTCGGAGGCTGGAGGCAGTTATTGAGGCACGCACAGCTCAGGTTGCATTTCGTGCTGTGTCAATGCGATGCTCACAGAGCAGGGATTTCCTCCTGGATGGTGCTTCAGGCACCATGAACACTGCAGAACCGAGAGCTGTAAGGAAGTGAAAATGTAAAGGACGCAAATTGTTTCTCCCCAAGATTTCCTTATAGTCATTTCTTGGGACTAGCAAGCAGGGAGCAGTTCCTATTTTCTCCAGTGCAGTTCGTTCACCAAGCTCAACAACTGTGTTTGCAGACCTTACTAAAAGTTAAATGCAACTGACATACCAGAAACAACTTGAGTTCCAACCAAGACGAGAGAAAGATTGGCCAAGTCTCTAGTGACTTGAGCGCAACTCTCTCTTGCAGCAGACCTTCTTAGAAGAAGGCAAAATCAGAGTGCTTTACAAACCGTACCCACTTTGCGTGAATAACTTTGGTCCCGTTGACGTATCTGTGCAATGTTATGTGATCTCCCTCCTCCACTTCCCCTCTAACTGCCCTTTCCGCACACGTTTGTAGGAGAAGACGAGTGCCCTCAGTCTGAGCAACGTCGCGGGAGTCTTCTATATTCTCGTCGGGGGACTTGGTTTGGCAATGCTGGTGGCTTTGATTGAGTTCTGTTACAAGTCACGAGCTGAGGCGAAACGAATGAAGGTGGCAAAGAATGCACAGAATATTAACCCAACTTCCTCGCAGAATTCACAGAATTTTGCAACTTATAAGGAAGGTTACAACGTATATGGAATCGAAAGTGTTAAGATTTAGGGGGTAGGAACAAGGTTCTAATACAAACTTCTACGTGCACGCTGTAGCTTCGTTGTTGTGTCCTTTGGCTTGTTGAATGAGGAGTTGGACAAGGGATCTTGATGTATGTATGTATGTATTGTTGCTGTTCTTTCATGGTGCTCGTCAGTAACTAACTGAATGACCAATTATTGACTGCAAGATTTTTGCTGAATGCGTAGATGTGCTTGACTAATTGTAGCCCGGCTTTTGCTTCAATTGTTGTTGTTTGTTTGTTTCTTTGTTTTCATTTGCTGAAGGCTTTCTAAAGCAACTAAAAATAATCTGATTCTCCTCTTGCCTACTATACAGTAAGTCAAAAGCAACCTCATTGAAGTCAGTGGAGTTAGTTACACTGGTGCTAACCTGATGTAAGCGAGAAGAGAATCAGGCCCTGTGTTTGGAACACCTTTTTTTTCCTGTAATTATTATTTTATTTTTCTCTCTCTTTCCTAAGATGACCTTGAATGATGCCATGAGGAGCAAGGCAAGGCTGTCAATTACAGGAAGTACTGGAGAAAATGGCCGTGTTATGACTCCAGAATTTCCAAAAGCAGTGCATGCAGTACCTTACGTGAGTCCTGGCATGGGAATGAATGTCAGTGTGACTGATCTCTCGTGATTGATAAGAACCTTTTGAGTGCCTTACACAATGGTTTTCTTGTGCGTTTATTGTCCAAGTGGTGAGAGGCATCCAGTATCTTGAAGACTTTTCTTTCAGCCAAGAATTCTTATATTTGTGGAGTTCATCTTGGATTGTAATGAATGCTTAGTTGAAAACACAGCACCATTTTCTACACAAGTTCAAGATGAAGCTTGACTGACATGCACAGCTAACATGGAAGTACTGTAATCTACCTGAAGTCGTTGTACAGGCAACACACCAGTTTCTGCAGCCACTGTTGTTAGTCCCTTGGTTCATACTGACTTAAGCACACTTGACATCAATTGCATCAAGATGTGACATGTTTTATAAGAAAAAAAGAAGAAAAAACATTTAAAATGAAAAAAATATTTTTAGGTATTTTCACAAACAAAAACTGGCTTTTAAATAAATTTGCTTCCATAATGGTTGAATATGACAAACAAGAGGAAAAAAAAAAGGAAAAAAGGAATATGACTGTGAGGAAGTGGAATATCAAAATAAAGCTTAAGACATCAATTCCGTATTTTTCAAAGCCAAATATGTAATGCTGAGAAGAGAAAAAAAATAATCAAAAGATTCAAAACTTGTAATTTAATATTGTTATTAAAACTTTGCTGTATATCCTATTCTTTAACATTTGGTGTTAATATGAAATTACTTGGCGATGCTTGACATTTGAAATAAACTTTTTTCTATGGTTTTATTTGCAAGTGGTTCCATTAATTTTACTAGCTGCATTTGGGTTCTATAACGTCTTAAATCTAAAAGGACACTGTCAAGGTTGGGTCAGTATATTAACTTTTGGGCAGCGTCGCCATCCCCAGCTGTTCAATGTTTTTATCCTATAGATGAGTTGAAGCTCTAACGCTGAAAATATTGAGCTCTGAATACCAGCACTGAGCTCTGATGATCAAGTATGTTCTCTGTTAGGACAGGGCTTCACACTAGCTCATGGCAATCAGAGAGGTGCTGATTTGGAGTCCAGTTCCTCTTAACTCTGAAGCCCAGGGACTTGCAGTCCAAAGATGTGGTTTGTGTCTGTCTCTACTTTTGTACAATTTTGTACAACACGGTCAGTAGTAACCGATAAATGGCAAGCACTAACAAACATAAAATAATTTTTAAAATTATAAAACATGCGTCTCATAGTTCTTCAAGGGAGCAATTCTCAAACTATTAAAACCAATTTTAAGCAGTACCTAGTAATGTTATTTGTTACAAAAAAATCCTTGACAGTGTCTTTTTAAATTAAAAACAATAATAAATGAAATCAGCTATAAGTCTGTATTGATGAAATATAAGTGCTTACATGAAACTTAGGCATTGTGAATATTCTTTGCAATCTGAGGTTATCATGCATTTTAATTATATGTATTTAAATACCACAGCTCTACTTACAAAACAGAAAGGAATCCTAGGAGGGGTGCAATAACATTAATTTAAATGCTAATGCAAAAGAAACCAAAATAATATTTCTCAAGCTTTCCCTGTAGATAAAATACCATACATTTTGTTGAAGCGTTTCCATTTTTGTGCACTGTGGATGCAAAAAGACACATTATGCTCCATGCAGCATCAGTAATTCTCTTTATTTCATTTTGGACTAAAAATTGGAAACGAGGCTTGCCGTTTTAGTTGGAATCCATCTCTTAGGCTTAAATACAATATTTCCTGAACACTGCAGGAGTTTATCAAAGTTTGAAGCCCTCCTCGTGGCACAAGCTCTGAGCTTGTTTGTGCAGCCATGGGAGCATCGTGGATGCTCTCACTGCTGTCAGTCTGAGACACCTGCAGCGTGGGCAACATCAGACAAACTCACCAGTAACTGCCCCATAATTTACCTAAACTGTTCCTTGACACGTCTGTCCAAGTAATCCATAGGTGTCTGTGCATTAGTCCCCATCAGGAATGTTAGGAAATGCATTCTGATTTCTAATGTTCAATGCTAGAATGACCAAACTGAAATAACACTCATATGGTAAGCTAAACTTTATCCAAAAGTAGAATTGCATTACTGTATACAGTGGAAAGCTACTTATTGTACCTCTGGGCTTATTCCTCTAAAAGTCGTAGCGTAAAAATCTTTGTCAAGCCTGAACTGATGTACATAACTGAAATAATGTAAAGTTATATTTTCATGTTTTTATACTTAACAACATGATGGGAATACATAATGTATGAGTATTTCAATAACAGGTAATATTGATTGGATACTCCACATCTCGGTTAAAAAGCAGTAATCATAGTTTAATATCCATGTTACAGTACATCAGTATATTGCTATATAAAGTATGTCTGTGTGCACTTAAGTGAAAAAGTAGTCAAGAGTGATGAACGATGTCCAAGGGTTTTTTATTCATTTTATATGAAAACTGTTATGGAGCAACCAAAATGTTTATGAAATTAATCTTGTGTAAATTTCAAAATGTCCTTTACTGTAGCTTTTTGTTTACAGTACAGTATCTTATTTTCTGCTTTGTTAAATGAGTAACAGTACAAAGCTGGACATACACTTTCTAAGACATTAACGTTCTCTTTTTTTCATGTATACCTATATGACAGAAAATGCTTCTGATTTTATTTTTAAATCTAACTCATGATGGCTTTTCTGGAGTGTTGTATAAACTTCAATCATACATAAAAAATCTTCTTAAAAAAGGCAAAAGATCCTTAATGTCTGTTTAGTATTATTGAAATCTGTTTTCTTATTCAATGTAAGTGTATTTTCCTAAGGTTTTACATATAGGGAACCTACTTGTCCCTCCAGACATGAATTGTCCTGAGTTTTTCAAGAAGAATATGAATTTTCTACAGAATGATCATGTCAGTCAAGCGTAGATTTATTGTAGTTCACATTATCGCTAAACAAAGTAATGTCACTTTCTTGACAATGATATAATTGTATTTCTGGACTGTAACCTTCACGATCATGGTGGGATGGTGTGCTCGGAAAGTCGAGTACCTGTTCAGTAACTCTAAGGAAAAGCTGTCGGATGCTCCCTGGATCGGGAATTTTTTACTTCTACAGATTTTTAATGTGTTCAAATCAGGGAAAGGATCTAAGAAATGGCAAGTGTCTTCTGTATATATTAATAGTGCTGCTCTTATAAATCTAGATCTATAACAAAGAGTTTGCTTCAATAGCAAACACATTGAGTTTGAAGAGATTCACAGTGTGAGAGGTTCAACTCTTTATTTTAAATGTGTAACATTTTAATAGAGAGGGTGTCTTGGGACCTTTCCGCTCTCGGGCTGATAAATGCAGGCAATGTTTTTACCCTGAGCACAGCGCCTGCATAACTGTATTTACATGGTTTTTGTAAATACATGGTTTACATGGTTTTGTAAATACATTTACATGTATTTACAAATACATGGTTTTAGCTATCTTTTTAGTGCAATTGGATATCTGAATATAGGGTTAGTTGTCTTGTCACCAGCAAAATAGAATCAGGACCCTGTCTTGTTGTCACCAGCAAAATAGAATCAGGACCAGCTACATCTTAGGTAATCCCTGCTGCTCAGATATCAGGCTACTCATATGCTGTATGTTGTTATACAGTACCAAATTTATCCTGGCAGGACATCACAAAAATGTCCTGTGAGAGACCTCTTGGGTCCAGATTGTTTTAGGAGCTCATATTTTATCAAGCACGCAGTATAAATCTTAGCAAATAACTTAACCACGGGCCTGACTTTGAGGATTTTCCCTGGCAGGAGTTTGTAGATAACATGGAGTGGTACATATATGTGCAAGATAGAATGAGGGATTATATGCAACAAAGGCACCTATGTGACAAATTCCATTTAAACTATGCCTGCTGTTGCTTTTCCTGAAATTTGGACAATGGTTCGTGTCTATTTTTACTACCCTTAATAGTATAAACTTGGAGTTTTTTCAGATTACTTCAGTGTAAAAATATCACAACTGTTGAGTTTTTTTCTGCCCTTAGTTCTATCCCTTCCCATCTTTCATCTCTTTTCCCAAAAGCAGACAGATAAACATGCCTGTAGCTAGGATCTTAGGACCTTTGGGAACTTCACGTGGTAACAGATTCATGACAAAAGATTCTCAATTAATTCCTATTTGCATTTAGAAGGTATCAACTCTTCATACCTTGAAATGACTGCAATATTGGTAATAAGTCTTATTTTCAGAGCTTACCTTAATGTGTTGACTATTACATTAATGATTATAATTTCTGAGCCTGTTAGATTCATTTAGTGCTATACCACATAATCTACTGAATCTTGATATTTGGAAAAGTCATTAAAAGAGGATTTTTGTAAACAGGAACCTAAAAAAATAGAACACTAAGATACAATGGAGGAGTTGTGAGAGCTGCAAATCTAACTCACCCGTGGCTTTGAGGTGCTGGGTCGTGAGGCCCTCCCACGCTCCCCAGTCCCAACGTTAGGGCATGATGTACTCCCTTTTCCTCTTACTGCACACATGCAGTTAGTTCTAATATATACTTTTTAGCTGGATGGGTAGATAAAAATGTAAGTATTGTATATAATGCTGATTATGTATTTTTAATTGATTTGGCAATCATTCAAAATGCTTCTTATGGCCCATTGCATCTGGCCTCTGCTATCATTTATCAGAAACGATAAATATGGAAAAGTTATCCTAGGTGATAAACCTGAACTTGAATTCAAGTGGCATCATCCAGTGCACCCTTCTCATATCCATCTCCTTTGTACATCTCTAATTGCTAATGAAAATGAAATTTAGGCTACCTCAATAGAAGTTTCAATGCGTACCTCAGTATTGAGAAAACACTTCCTTTATCCTAGAAGGAAAGCATTATTCCACCTAATCCCAAAAGGAAAACGCTGGTAAACATTAACAAATAGACCAAGCCCTTAAAATTGCCTTCACTCAGTGTCTGGAATAGGGGAAATGTTGCAGGGAATTAGGGTGCAAAGGGTCCCATGTGCTACGAGCTGCCCAGGACCCAACTGCCTCCTTTACCTGCTGCATTTGCAGAGGGAAGGAGGTGGCCGTCGGCCTGCTGGTTTTCCACGTCATTCCTCTGTTCCTCTCAATCCTAAAAGGCAAAGGAATGTCCAGAAAAAAATACCAAGCAGGGTCTATCCCTGCTACCTAAGGATAGAAAATAAACTCATTTTTTTCCCCATTCTCAAACTTACTGTCAATGTAATTTTGAAAATGTCATTCTCTGAATTTTTTTCATAAGCAATTCTTAAAATTGGAAAATGAAATCTGTTTGCAGAGTCTCTTACATGTACTTGTTTCTGAAAAGGGGACTTTCGAGAGTCCTTCTGATGTGTGTTCTACAGAAGCACAAAGAACATCTTGTTAAATCGACGTGGAGCTTTTTCATGACGGCTTTTTGTGCAGCATTCAGTTGGTGTTATTACTGTCAGTCCTTCAGCACCGTGTTCTCTGAGTTAAGAAGAAAATGCAATTAAAGAAGTTGTTATATATCT